CATGGTCAAGTACCAATTTTGGGGACCTGTTTTCCACTTTACTTTAGATATGTGCTATCACTTCAGGAGGTATAACATGGCTGGACAAAGATTACAGTCTTTAAAATATAATATTTGTCCTCGGGGATAATGTGTGGTGTGGTCAAATTCTTCCAGCTCCAAAATCCATCTCTGCACGTTTATTCATTTATGGTTCCTTTTTGCTGGAGACTGAGAAACATTTCAAGTTTGCATTGATCAAGTGTCCAACGTAAAACAGGTTATTTTTTCATTTAGTTTATGTTTTAAACTTTCGTGCAGGATTCTACATACACACCATTCCTCATCCTAAGACAGTATATTATTGGTTATACATTTTACTTTTACTTTTTCAAGGTGGCTTAAGAAATTATTACTCATCAAAGACAAAAACAGCTCACCCTTTTCAACACTATACATTTCTACATTTTATTTTAGCATCCTTGGAGCTGTCGAGCTGCAACTCTGGGCTTTGAACGAATGGTGCATTTCCTAGGAATTTAACGGGATCCCTACTTTGCTACAGATACCAGTAGATGAGCAAGCCAGGTATCAGAAGGGAGATTTTCTGTTCCCCCGGTTCTTTTTCACTAACCGTAGGATGAGTAACCAGCCAATCCTCTCGAAGAGCCCATTTCCCGGACTTTGGGGCTTCCTCCTCCTGCCCAAAAGACCCGGAGCATCTAGCGACCGAACCTCCCTCCTCATTTGCCCCGTCTCTGCAGGCGCTCTCCGACTTTTCCATTCCAAATTCGCGTGTCATTCAGCTTCGTTCCGGTTGGTGTTTCAACAAAATAGTTCCTCCACCAAACTTTTAAACAACCTTCAAGGGTTCCGCTTTTCAGCAAGTCAACCTGTCGTTGACTTTCTTATGCTTTCTTATTTTCTCATTTTTTAATTGAAGATTCAGATTTTTTTTTTAAAAAAACCCTTCTTTAGCAGCACTTGTTCTGTAAGACACTCATATTTTTGAGACAACAGATAAATCTATGTACCTCAAACTCATTACTATTAGAAATCTAGCACTAAATTCTCTTACAATCCATTAAATTACTGTGCTGGTTATATATTAAACAGCATGATGTGGCTTCTCAAGCAACTAAATTTAATTGTCCTTATTGGTAGATGTAAATATTTCTGTCTATTTACTTGAGACTACTAGTAATGTAAAAAGATAATTTAAAAACCCATAAACCTACTGGTGAAAATATTAATATTATTTCCAAATTGATAGGGGGATAGCTGTGTTAATACATTTAAGGTATTTCAAATGAATAGTTGAATTGCTTGGAAGGATTTTGTGGAAAGGAAAATGTTAGTTATCATATGATAAATAAATAATGGTTATCATATGATGAGAAAGATTTTAACTTTTATGACTTTCAGTTTTATCATTGTGCAAAATATTTTTTAAAAACTCTTGGAGTTATAAAACTTTTGCTATTATTATCCTTATAACATTTCTATCATTGAATCTAAATTGTATTTTTCTTCAATAGAAATTGGAGGATTATATCTGTCTGGAAACAATTTGGGATCTTCTCTGAGTTCAACTGGAGGAAAAAAGTAATAAATAAAGAACATCTGTTCATTCTTTCATTACTTCTTTTATAAGAATGGAAACTGAGTGTTCAGTTATTTTGCTTTTGTGTTACAAGTATGAAATTCTAGAAGTGTAGTCTTATTAATTGCTTCCTAAAATTATTCCTATCAATGGAAAGGCTGAAAAGACTGTGTTGTGCTTTCAGAGAATATTAATTGAAAATATAATTTGAGAATGATAGCATCTTACATTCTACTTGGTGTAAAATGGGTCCTTCATATATTTAAATGCACTGCTACTTGCAGGAACTATTATATTTGAGATGTTTAGTGATCTGAATTTCAGTGTCTTAACAATTTGGCTGGACCTTGTTAAGCTATGATAAGATTAATTTTAGCTTAATATGTAATGCGGATACAAGAATTATTATAAGCCATGATTTTATAATTTAACACATAGAAATCAAGCTATTTGTGCCTTAGTCAATATATTATGATTAAGTGAACTGTGACTTAAGATTTTTTTATGAGCTCTGTTTATTTTCTATAGCATGTGTACTATATTTTAAATTATACTTACTTGAGAACAACTCAGGCTTAATGGCAGTGCTAAAATTTGCTGCAGTGGGACCCAATATCAATTAACAATAGCAATAGCACTTGGACTTCTATACTGCTTCACTGTGCTTTACAGCTCTTTCTAAGCGGTTTACAGAGTCAGCATATTGCCCCCAACAATCTGAGTCCTCATTTTACCAACCTTGGAAAGATGGAAGGCTGAGTCAACCTTGAGCCAGTCAGGATTGAACTCTTGGAGTGAGCAGTGTAGCCTGTAGAACTGCATTCTAACCACTGTGCCACCACAGCTGCGCTTCAGACTGGTTATTTGAGGATAAAAGGGGTGCAATATAATAAAACCTGTACTACCTATGCTGCCGTAACGTTGGTAACTGTCCAAAATACATCAATGTTCTGAAACTTGTTCTGATTAGTTTTAACTGGTGAAGAATAGAAGAGATCATATTGTCAATGTAATCTTTTTGTATATAATTTTTTTGAACTTTATATAAATTAGAAAAAATCCTCATATTAAACATCTACTGAGAATACTGATTTAAAATTGTCTGGATATGTCTTTAGTTCCCACCCTATTCTTCGTCTGGCAGACAGTATCAATTTTTAAGATTGTTCCAGTTGTCATACTATGCCATATGAATGATTTTCTTCTTTGATTTATTTATTTATTCTAAAAATAAATAAATAACCTTTTAATTTGCTGTTCTTGGTTCATTTGCTTGAATTAAGCAAAGGTAGATGTTGTCCAGTTGCTGTTAACATCACTGTCTTGGGTGGTAACCCATTTCTGCTGCAGTCAAATGTCAATGTGCACTTAGATCCAATTAAATTTTATAGGCTGTCTAAATGCACATCCTGGAGCTGTATCCTGGAGATTTTGTGATCAATTCTACTGGATGCACGGGATTGCTTTGTTGTTGTTAGTTGTGAAGTCATGTCTGTCCCATCACGACCCCATGGACAATGTTCCTCCAGGCCTTCCTGTCCTCTACCATCTACTGAGGTCACGCCTACTGCTTCAGTGACTCCATCCAGCCACCTCATTCTCTGTCGTCCCCTTCTTCTATTTGGGATTGCTAGGAGATGGTTAAGTGAGTTTCTAAATTCTGAGAAGAATTCATCAAGTGGAATAGCATTATTCCTAGGTGAGCATTGTCATTCCTGTGTTCCATACTACTGAATAATGAGAAGATTGGGAACCACAGTTGTCTAGGATTCAATTTCCTGTGAACCAGGTCACAGATGTTTTCCAGGCTGAGAAGAAGACGAGGGACTACTTGCAGAAGTGCAAAAAAACTCTGGATTATCCTTCTGTTTCCCTTTCCCACTTCAGATGAAAGCGTATCAAATGTAAATCCTTGGCAAAGAAAGGGTAATTGTGAATATTTCACTCTCTCTTTATACATTTGTATTAAATACTAACGACATTGCATTAGAAATATATCAGTGGGACTGTGTCCCATATTTTTTAATTTAAAAAAGCATTATAATTCAAGACGACCACTGTACCATCTGACTTTTATGGAATGAAATATATACATAAATGAATACATAAAAACTTCAGGACTTCCAAAAGCATTTTTTAAAAAAATTATTTATTTATTTATTTTTGTCAATTGCTTACAAGATAACAAGTATAAGTAAAAACATAGTTATGAATACATGGATACATATAAGAAAAATATAAAAAAATATAAAAAACAATAGGACAGGGACGGTAGGCACATTGGTGCACATTGGTACGCCCCCTACAGACCTCTTAGGAAAGGGGCGAGGTCAATAGTAGACAGTCTATGGTTAAAGTTTTTGGGGTTTTGGGAAGAAACCACAGAGTCAGGTAGAGTATTCCAGACATTGACCACTCTGTTGCCGAAGTTGTATTTCCTGCAATCAAGTTTGGTGCGATTAACCTTGAGTTTGTATCTATTGTTTGCTCTTATGTTGTTATGGTTGAAGCCAAAGTATTCATTGACAGGTAGGACATTGCAATGTATGATTTTATATACTATACTTAGATCAGACCGAAGGTGGCGTAGTTCTAGCTTTTCCAGGTCTAGAATTTCAAGTCTGGTGGCATAAGGTATTCTGTAACGAGTAGAGGAGTGGAGAACTCTTCTTGTGAAATATTTCTGGACTTTCTCAACTGTGCTAATATCAGATATGTAATGTGGGTTCCAGACTGATGAGCTGTATTCGAGTATTGGTCTAGAAAATGTTTTGTATGCTCTAGTTAGTAGTGTGATATTACCAGAGAAAGACCTACGTAAGATTAGATTAACAATGCCTTTTTGACTATGTAGTTACAGTGAGCTCTAGCACTTAGATCATTAAAGATGAGTACTCCAAGATCCTTGACAGAGTTTGGATCATCAACAAGGTCTTGACTATTCAGCCTGTATTTTATTTTCTGATATTTTTTTTGCCAATATGTAGGACAGAGCATTTATTTGTTGAGATTTGAAGTTGCCATTTGTTTGACCATTCTGATACATAGTCAAGATCTTTTTGAAGGGTAGCAGTATTGTCGCTCTTGATATGATCACAGATATCTTTTGATATGATGCACCAATCTGCTAGCCAGATGCCTGGGATGGTCCATTTCTTCCTTGTTATTGGTCGGTTCCGATTAGCATTATTCCCGGGACCTTGGGGCGATGGCAGAGAGAAAGGAAAGGAAGAACGAGAAAGCACGCATTGTTTGTTTTGATTTGCGGCAAGAGTTAGCGAGGAGCTCAGGATTGGCTGCAGGTTTGCCGCCGCCACCAATCCGCCGTTGGCAAAAGCAGAACTCCCCCCCGCCCCCTCCTCGAGCAAATAATGAAAAGAAAGGGGCGGGGGAGAAGCGTGTCTTAGTTGGGGCGGCTCTCCCGCCCGCTCGCCTCTCTTCCCCGTGCAGCCGGACCTGCAGGTACGCCGGGAGCTCTTTGCGGCCGCCGGTCCGCAAGAAGCGGCTTCTCTCTCGCCCTGTCCGAAGGTGCGATTCCCCGCGAAAAATGGCTGCGATCCCGGCTTGCGCCGCCGCCGCCGCCGCTTCCTTGCGCCGCCGGCTCCTGGTCTTGCTTTTGCTTCCTTGCCCTTTCGCGCTCTGGCTGAAGGGGAACGGCTGTGTTGCCGGCACACCGGAGGAAGCGGCGGCGGCGATGCCCAGCTCGCCCCCTCTGCCGGAATCCGCCTTGCAGAAACCCACCGTCTTCATGGCCATCCTCGCCAGGAACGCTGCCCGCTCCTTGCCCCATTTCCTCGGCTGTCTGGAGAGGCTGCGGTACCCGAAGCGCCGGATCGCCATCTGGTAAGGTTGCCCAAAAAAGCGCCGCCGGAGAAGAATCCGATGGGGATTCGGTGGAGATCACGGGCGAGCGCGGGAGCGGGGGGGCGGGGGGGGGGAGGTTTGAAAACATAGCGGGGGGATCCTTCCCCCAAGTTATTTCCAGATACTTGGTCAAAAGGTGCAAGGGAGACTGACCGATAGCCAGGAACTGATGCTGCGGGTGTGCCAGGGATGGTTGCTAACTGATGCGGGTGGGTGGGAAGAGACTTCGTCTACTGCTTTAAAGTAGAAGTAGCCCATCTCTTGCTCAGAATCTTCAAATTAAGTTTTTAAGGGCACAGAGTTATAATGAGATAATAATGATTCCCGAACAGTATGGTGGCAGGAAGGATAAGGTAACATCCATGGTTTAAATGAAAAATGTCAAAATAATAGGTTAAGTGTAAATGAAGGGAGGAGATAAGGCCTTTTATAATCTTTTAGATTCTTGCTTTTTATATAGTGGCTGTTCCCCTACAATGTTGTATGTATGTATATTTCTCTCTCTTTCTCTCTCTCTCTCTCATTTTAGAGAACATGATAGTGGGGTCAGCCAATAGTGTATGTATGTATGTGTATGTATATGTATATGTATATAATGTATACGTATAATGTATAATGTATATGTATAATGTATAGTATGGTATTCAGCTTTGTTCGGGTATTTTCCAATGTCATTGTAGTTGTGCTTTTAAAGTTGTAGCCGTTTCGGCAGAATTTCATTTGCCATCATCAGGCTTCTGTATTGGGTTCATATGTGAGACGAACCCAATACAGAAGCCTGATGATGGCAGATGAGATTCTGCCAAAACGTTGCTACAACTTTAAAAGCACAACTATAATGACGTGGGAAAATACCCAAACACAGCTGAATACCATACATACATACATACATACATACATACATACATACATACATACATACACTATATTGGGAGTGGACTGTCAGTTTATAGCTGATTTAAGGAGACCAGATGGGAATGTCTTGTATGACTGGAGAAAAGAAATGATCTCTTCAACCTACGCCCCCCCTCCCCTTTCCCAAACATGACATTAAGTTATGACTGCCTGCATTTGAAATCCCCCAGGAAAGGTATCTGTAAAGGCTGGAGGAGCGTCTGGGGGAGTTGTTGAAAGGCAGTTTGGCAGCCTTTGGATAAAAATTGCTGCTGAATCCAGCTACTCAGGAATGATAATACAGGGAATTATTCCCTTAGGGGGAATACCTGACTGGATCTGCTCTTGTTTTAGGCTTTCCCGGTTACTGCTTTATGAAGAGATTTCAATTTAATGATGTACATGCACATATACTACAAAAAAAAAAAACCGTAGGAGCCTTTAAGTCTTCTACTTTGTCAGCTCCAAATACTGTATAGGTTTATATAATAATATGAAGAATGCCTTCTTGGTGATGCAGGATCAGAAATCCCTCACAAGAAGTCCTAAGCTGGAACATTAGGAACAATATATTGAAGTTGTCTGTTCTGCCCTCAGCTGAGAGGATGTACTAACACAAACCAACCCTCTTTTCTCATTTGTTTCATAATCTAACCACTCATCTTGGGTTAGCGGAATAACCTCCCCTTGACTTCAGGGGTCCCAAGTCCAAATGTTTGAATGGAGTAGAATTCTTTCTAACAGAGAGAAGGAAGTCAGAAACTGTTTAATTGCTCCTCTCCTTTCTGAGAGGCAAACTGATTTTATTTATTCTACTCTTCCTTTGTTTCCTTGTTGTGAACCAGAGCTATAATTCTTAATCCTGTGATGGCTGAATGGAGCCAACATGTGCCACTGCAGACCACTGTAAAGTTCAATGGTGCACCATCATTTGTCTATGTTAGGGCAGGGGTCTCCAATCTTGGCCACTTTAAGACTTGTGGACTTCAACTCCCAGAATTCTTCAGCCAGCTTTGAAGTCCACAAGTCTTAAAGTGGCCAAGGTTGGAGCCCCCTGTGCTAGGGCACATGATTCAAGTCAAAGTGGACATCTCTTTTAGCATGATGACTGCAGGTTTTAATGACTTGAGATATGGAGAGAATTCCTGAGATTAAGGAGTTTTCACTTTAGCAAGACTATACCTCAAAAAGGGAAAAAAAGTGGAAAACAATAAAAGAGGCTCAATTTTATTTGTACTCGGTTGTTATTAAAAATGTTTTACAGTCTTGGAAAAGGGTTCTGGGAGTCTGTAAAATAGCCGGTATCTGGAATTTTAATAGTCCCATTTAGTATTTTATTCTTTGTACTGTGTGCTTTTGCCTTCTAAATCAAGAGTCATGTTGCATATGCTCGGCTATGCTTCAGTCTTTATTTTTTGCTTTACATATTCAGAAAAGCTCTCAGAAGGCTTTTATAGATGAAAATGATAATCCTATTTCATCATGCTACATGACATTGGGAAGGCAGCTGTAGCTCAATGAGAGAGCAAAGCTTAGATACAAAGGAAGTTTGTTAAATTCCAGGTAGTTTGGATTAGGATTAGCAAAAACTAATGTGAGAAAGAAACCCTGGAGAACTCCTAACCTCTGAGCTAGGTGCAGCACTGTTTTAACTCATTATAACACACTTCCCCATGTTTTTGTGATGGACTGCTTTGCTAGCTTTTTTAGATAACTGCAAATCATTTCTAAGCAAAGAGTTCAGTTAAGTATAGTTGAATATGTGCTGGCTCAGGAAATATAACTACAGGTGACGGCAACATAGGTACAGCCTAGAATAGTTTAGCCTTCATCAAACCACTAACCAGACAAGATTCAGTAGTTGTTGGCCCTTGTAATAAACCTATTCCTTAAAAATTACACTGTCCCAGCCTGGCCTCCATTTAAATATGTGGATTTTGAATTCTCAGAATTGTCAATATGGCCATTATTGGATAAGGAATTCTGAGTGGAAGTCCACACATAGCATGAGAAACTGAGATGGGGTGGCTGAACAGTATTTATGATACCAAACTTGGTTATTGGCTAGGGTAGAGCATATGGCTTGTGGCTCCTTGGCAGAAGTCTCTAATCAGGATTTAATTTTTTTTTTATATGTCCAGGATTTTATATATCGTATAACAGATAATGTGCAGCCTTTTTCTTCTTCCTAGCATTGCCCCACAAAGGGAAATTTGGTCGATCTGAAAAAAGCAGAAGGGTCTGCTTTTTTCAGATCAACCAAAGGTTGAACCATTTGGTGGTGACAAGAATTGACTGGTAGGCCTGAATGTCATGGGAATGTCAGATAGAGTAAGTGGTCCAAAATCATCCAGGCAGCTTTCATGGCTAAGGCAGGGCTAGAATTCAGTCTCCTAGTTTCTAGCCTGGCCTATAACCATTGCATAAAAACTGGCTCTTTGGAAACATAACTTGAAGTTGAATTCAAGTAAAGGAAATGAATATCTACCCCAGTGGCCTTTTGTTAGAAAGGACATTGAATACATATTTTCTCAATTTAATATAATTGATATGGGACCACAATAATGGTTGCAGGTTGATAGAATCCAAGCTGAAAAGAAGAAATGTTTATGGTCTTTCTGCTTTTAAAAAACATTTGTGTCCCTGTTTTAAGATGAAAAGATGCTTATTAACTTCAACAAATGATTTTGTATTGAAGATTTGGGAAGAAAGAACAAGGTTTTTTGTTAAGTCACTTTCCAAATATAATTACATTCTTTTGCTAAAAGTATGAGCAACACTTTAGGAATCTGAAAACTCTTCTCTAAGGACTTGTGAGTATGTCAGAAAATCACCAATGGCATACTATAATTATCCACTGACATCAGCTTTCTTGCCATTAAGTTGCTTGTAACAAAATTCTCTACTCTTTAGATAAACTTTGAACTAATGGAATTTAAAAGATTGTACTGACAGATATCCAGGTTGTAATGCAGGAAGTTAGCAAGAGGGAAAGTTAAATTCCTTTCAAACATCAGATATTGCCTTATGCACAGCTATGGTTCTAATAGTACACACGGAAGCATAATTCAATTGAGTTACCTTGTTTTGTTTCAGGGTTTTGTATCAATTAGCCAAGTGTTTAATTGTTGGAAATAGTGGTGTGTGTACAGATTTTTAAAGGTATAGATGACAAGACTGAGATACTTGTGTATATTCCAATGGTAGACAAATCAAAAGGAATGATTTAAAAGACCATAGATAAAAGCATTTTTTCCTGAGAGGAAAGATTTAAATAATTTAGAATTTACCTTCACAAATAAAAGTGACATCCTGTGCTGTTTTCTGCATGCCTCCTTTATTTTCTAAATTAAAACTATAAGTAATTTCACTGTACAGGTAGTCCTTGCCTTATGACTCTTCTTTGAGTGACTGTTTGAAGTTGCAAGAACACTGAAAAAAGTGATTTATGGCCAGTCCTCATTCTTATAACGGTTGCAGCATCCCTACAGTCATGTGATCAAAATGTGGACACTTGGTGCCCAGCCTGTATTTATGATGGTTGCAGCATCCTGAGGGCATGTGATTACCATTTGTGACTATCTCAGTTGGCTTCCAACAAGCAAAATCAACGGCAGAAGCTAGATTCACTTAACATCGTCATGATTCACTTAACAACTGTAGTGTGTCAGGACTCCAACAAATCCACCCCAATTCAAATCATAAGTCTCTAGAAACATCTCAGAGAAAAGAAAATTGATTTATTAGAAGTGCCATGTTGGTGTTAGCTGGATGAGCCGATATTAAAATACACCATTCATTTCCCCCTTGACCCTGGTCTTCCCCCGGATGTGTATTTTCCAATGGAACTCATCCATCCCCAAGAGTCATCAATCATGCTTTCCAGTAATATCCTTGCGCTCCGACAACTTTGAGCTGCCAGGGTGATTATCTAGGCACTTAAGGAATGCACTGTTTTCTCCTACTCCTTTTTTCTGGCAGCTAAAAAGACAATAAAGTACAATAGAGGAATTTATAAGAATGACATGAAGAAACTGGAGGAGAGACATTACCTCCCTTTCACTATAACTCTGTAACTTGTGTGC